ACCAACGGGATACCAACGGGACACCACAGGACACCAAGGCGGGACACCCCAGGCCACCGCGCGCCCACTGGGGGCTGAAGGGCAGTCCACTGCATCCGAATCGCCCTAGCGACGGCGGGGTCAATCATCTCGCGCGCCCACGCAACTTCTCGCCCGCCCGCACGACACGAACACGAAACCGACACCGATTTCCCGGTGGGGGGCTCTCCGTTCCACTGCGATCTCACCCCCAAACTCCGATACGTACACACGCATCACTATACGTTTCTTGCTCCCCCTATCCCTCCTGCTCCTCCTTCCTGTTCCTGTTTGTGTGTTCGCTCCTCCTCGTCGCAACACCAGACGTCTCGGTAGGCAGGGCGGAGCATTTCGCAGGAGGCTTCCTTACCTTATTCAGGCCGTGCTCAAGATGTGACGCTCGCCGTAACGCCGCGTACAAAGACGCATGTTGACAGGACGTGCGTTGCTCACACGGGTGGGGGATATATTGTTTTCAATATGATTCTCTCCTTATTCCCACTCACGCTCGTCTTAAACGTATGCATCACTTACCCCGATGTGGGGAGGGCCGTTTCCAAATGTGGTTTTCGCTTCATTGCCGCGCACGTTGACTTTACATGTACGCCACGATAACACTGATGAAGAGCTAGTTCCCTATTCAATCTTAGATCTCGCCTGGAAATTTCCAGGTTTTCCAGCCGTGTATAGGTTCAACAATTACACGGACGGAGGTCGACTATTCTTGAAACTGGGGCTATCGCTTGACCACCCCTGGGCCTTTATGATCATGCACCTTGGCCTTCCCAATGTTAGCTAACTAATTGGATGGACGGGGGTACCGTTTCAAAGCGGGGATCTCGCCGGAAGTGCTGGCCCACGGAGCGCTCGTCCTTCAAGAGGACGCTCGTCGTAACAAGTAGGTGGATAGGCGGGGACGTGGAACGGGAGCGTGCACTGCAGCATCGTCGGTGGATCATAGGTTCGCTTGGATTCTCCTGCTCCTCCTTCTCCCCGCCTCCTCTCTTCTCCTCTCATTTCCCCTGCTCCCGAACCCTCCCATCTCCGCTCAACTTCATGATTGTCTATTCGTCTTCTCTCCTATCTTCTTTTCTGATCACGTCTCACCGCATCGACTACCAGGTCCTTTTCTGCGTTAAGCCTTCTCATAACTTCCTCGCCTCCACCGGTTCCTCTCATCCTTCTCTCCCCTCCCCTCTATTCTTCTCCACTCCACTCCTCCTTCTCCGCATCATTCTGCCATGCTGCTACGATGAAAGTTCGCACCATATAGTCTCCTCAACTCTGCTCTTCTCTTCGTCGCCTTACCACCTCATCGTCATCGTCCTCACTCTGTACCTTTCCCCCTAGCTGCTGTGTGTTCTTCTCGTCTTTGTCCTCTTCCTCTCCTCCTCCCCCCCTCCTCGTCGTGCTCCCCTCCTTCTGCTTTTAGGATTTTCTCCTCGCCTCTCCTTCCGTCTCACATCTTACGGCCTCGTCGCAGTACCCACTGTCTGTCCTCTCATCTCCTCTCTCCATTCCTTCCTTCCCATCTCCTCTCCGTCTCGCTCCTCGTCGCCCCTCTCCTTCCCCACCGAAGTCCTTCCCCCTATTGCGCGTCTCCCCCCGCTTCTGTCATCGCACGTCTCCTCCTCTTCTCTCTTCGTCCCCTCATGCCTCCTCTATGTTTATCCGTCCTGGTTCTTCCCTCTGCTCTCCCTTCCGCTTCTCTCCTCTCCGTCCTCCGATCATCTTCTCCCCTGGTGCCTCTTTCCGCTCTCCGCTGCTCTCCGGTGCCTCTTTCCGCTCTCCGCTCCTCAGACCTCTGTCCATTCTCACCTCTCCTCTCCATCCCTTCTCATCCATTCTCGATTCCTTGTCCTCGTCCCCGATCCATCAGGAGGAGGGGTGGGGAAGAACGGGGGAGCAGGAGGGGGATGATGACAGGGAAGATGATGAGAGAGAGAGAGAGAGAGACAGAGAAAGAGGGGCAGAGAGAGAGCGATATATATATATATATATATATATATAGATAGAGAGAGAGAGAGATAGAGAGCGGGACACATACATATACATAGAGAGAGAGAGAGAGAGAGCTTCAGCGATACATGTATATATATACATATACATGTATACAGAAAGAGAAAGAAAGAGAAGGCGATACAGAGAGAGAGTTAGAGAGAGAGAGAGAGAGAGAGAGATATCGGGAAAAAGAAGAGGAGGAGGGGAGGAGGAGGATGAGGAGGAGGATGATGATGATGATGAGGAGGAGCGGGATACTGATGCCGATTCTGTTGATGCTGATGCTGCTGATGATGTAGGAGGAGGGAGGCGGACAAGGGAATACATACGAGGATGGATGGAGGGAGGGAGGAGGAAGGGGAGGAGGGGGAGGAAGAGGGGAAGGATGAGGAAGAGGAGGAGGAGGCGAAGGATGAGGAGGATGAGGAGGAGGGACCAGCTCGGGGGGGCAAGCATTTCATCCTTAGACTGAGATCGGCGATTGCCCTCCAAGCCCTCGTCCCCCACTACCCCTTTCCTCCAAACCTTCTCCTCCTCCTCCTCCACCTCCTCCTCCTCCACCTCCCCCTCCTCCTCTCCTTCCCTATCCTCCACCTCCCCTCCTCTCCCTCCCTCCCTCCCTCCCTCCCTCCCTCCCTCCCCCCTATCGCACCCTGTGCCCGCAAGCTGGAGACTGGCAGCCGTGAGGTCCTGTCTGTGCGAGCCACTCAGGGCAGCAGAAGCGTCGCCAGCGGCGTCCGTCTCCGACTTTGATCAGTGCGAACAGGGGCAAGTTGCACGAGCACCGACACGGGCACTGGCACTCAGGATGGGTACGCTACACAGAAGGCTGATGGAGACCCCCGGACGTGGTAGGCGTTCACACGGACGGGGCGCTCACGAGGTCCCCATGGGGTTCGATCGTGCACGTGACGAGTGGCGCACAGCACAGGAGAAGACCAATCCATCTGCGTTGTGTGGGGGATACTTGCTGACAGTATCGTGGATGCCGTATCACATATGTATACGACATGTGCAACGGCTGAGCTACCTTCAGACATGCATGAGGGGGAGGGTGAGCTCCGAGAGCCTCTTGCTGCGTTGTACGTGGAGGAGGAACCCTACCTAGGATTCACAGAAAATTGAGCTACAGACTTTGTGCTGTCGGCCGATGCCCGTCGGAGGCAGAGAGCTGATCCAGAGATAGGGCGTTTTGAGCCCGCGTTGTCTTGGATCCGAAAGCCACTCTTAGGCCGGCGGACCACTCGAGGCAGATGGAAAGCACGAGCACGCAAACGCTCTTGCATGTTTGGAAGACCCCCCTCCGTCTGCTGCTTCCGTTTCCACACCTGCCTCCTCTGCCAGTCCCGCTTAATTGCCGATGAGATCTGTGGACGCATCGCGCAGAACCGAGCCTTCGCCCACGCACGCGAGCGGGAACGACTCGAGCGTGAGCGAGCGCAGCGCGTTCGTGCCGTTGCGCTATGGATGGCCGACCCCAGCTTTGGCATCGGGCTGTTCGATCGAGCGCAGTGGGCACGTGCATGCCGATGCCAGCTTGACCCAGCGTTTCGTCCCTCAGCCTGGCAGGATAGATGGCATTGACAAGGAGAGGCGACGTGATACTCAGCACGCCACGCGACGCAATCCAGCGTAAGTTTGACGACTCGTGACAATCAGAAGTATGACGCACCAGGCCGCCTTTGTATTGTGCCAGTCTTGCCAGTTTTGCGCGTGCTTGCCCATAGTGGATAGACCCACGGTACTCCCAGTGCACTGCAGATCACTGCGACATCCAGGGACGGGAGGATGAGGTTCTACTTGAATACGGTTGGGGTGGGTGGCCTCCCAAATGGGGTCCGACTAGATGGTGTCGGAGGATCCCGCCGCATCGCCGATACATCGGCGATGCATCGCCGATGCATCGGCGATTCATCGGCCATGCATTGGCGACGCCGGCGAGGCACCGGCGACGTCGGCGTGGAGAACATTGGACCCCACCTCGAGCCGCATCGGCGAGGCAGCGGCGAGGCGGCGCGACCCTCCGACCCCATCTGCTCCGACCCCATGCAGGAGGCCTGGCAGAAGCGCTCTCTTGCTCTCCCGGCCACCCGCTCGCTCCCCAGTCGCCCCCGCCCTGCTTTTTTTATCATCGGCCGCGCCGCCCCTGGAAGGCTAGAGGCTCCACCCGTCAGAGTCTTGCGCGTTCTTCTCTCGTCCTCCTCCTCCTCCTCCTCCCGAGGGGAAGGAGGAGGAGGAGGAGGAGGAGGAGGAAGAGGAGGAGGAGGAGGAGGAGGAGGAGGAGGAGGAGGAGGAGGAGGCGAAGGAGGAGGAGGAGGAGGGAGGAGGAGGAGGAAGGAGGAGGAGGAGGGGGAGGAGGAGGCGAAGGAGGAGGAGGAGGAGGAGGAAGAGGAGGCGGAGGAGGAGGTACACCAGAGGCAGCACGCTGGAGGACTCCGACGGCCGGGGACTCCCTCGTCTGCCCCCCTCTGGCTTCGGGCACTGGGCGGACACGCAGGCACCTGCCGAGCCGAGCAGGGCGCCGAGCCTCGCCTCCGCTCGAGGGCCTGTGCGGCTCGGCCTGCTTCCGCTCTGCAGCGGCAGCGGCAACAGCGACGACGGCACCAGCGGCAACGGTGACGACGACAGCGAGCGCTGCGCTCGTTGAGATCGTCGTGATCGTTGTCCTCCTCGAGCGGCTTCGGGCAGCCGCAGGATAGGGCCAGAGGCCCACGCGAGCCCGGCCGGGGCCAACGATGCCCCCGAGGCGCAGCGCACGTTCGAGGCCCTCCCGGTGGGCCCGCCCCGCGCCCTGGCAGCCGGGCGCCAGCGAGCAGGACGCTCGCCGCACCTCCGCCCGCGGGCGAGCCGCAGCAGCGTATGTCTGTGCCGCCATTGTGGCCCCCGGGCAGAGGGAGAACAGGGACACACGCCCTGCCAGTCCCAAAACGAGCAAGACACTCGCCGTGCCCTGCAATTCCATGGCGACCTTGCTTGGCGCCTCCCGCCATCTCGGCCGCGAGGCAGGAGAAAGGCTGAGTCACCTCCCTCGCCTTAGCGCGAAGCTTGGGCCTCTCCGCCGCCGTCTCGTCTGCGTGCCGCTGCGGGGGCCGATGGCAACGCCGCCACCTCAGGTGCATCGGTCTCTCGGGAGCGGTTCTCATGATTCCCCGCTGTCAGGGAAACCTCGCCAGCGTCACATCAGGACTGCGCCCGCCGCTCTCTCGCGCAGAACTATTTAGTTGTTTTTTAATCTTCGGCTAGCTGCAGCGCCGCACTCTGCTGACAGGCCATCGGCTTCAACGGCCTTGCCATCCCAAAAACCCATCCCCGCACCCCCTCCTACACCTCCTCCTCCCCCTTCCCCCTGCCTCTCCCTCCTCCTCCTCCTCCTCCTCCTCCTCCTCCTCCTCATCCTCCTCCTCCCTTTCCTCCTCCTCCTCCTCCTCCTCCTCCTCCTCCTCCTCCTCCTCCCTCCTCCCCCTTCCCCCTGCCTCTCCCTCCTCCTCCTCATCCTTGCTCCTCCTTCTCCTCCTGCTGCTCCTCCTCCTCCCCTTTCCTTCTTTCTCCTCCTCCTCCTCCCTCCGCCTCCTCCTCCTCCCTCCTCCTCCTCCTCCTCCTCCTCCTCCTCCTCCTCCTCCTCCTCCCCCTCCCGCTCCCCTTGCCTTGCCCGCCCCTCGGCGCCATCAGGAAGGCCGACGCTGCGCGCCGCGGCAGCCGGCGGGGCACCAGCGTCGCGCCAGAGGACAGTCCCGTCGGCGCGGCGGCCGCGTCCTTCGAGCAGAGATCGTCGTCGTCGTCGTCGTCGTCGTCGTCGTCGCCGTCGTCGTGGTCGTCGTGGTCCTCCTCGTGGTCGACGGCGACGGTGTCGGCGTCGTGATCGTCGTCCTGGTCGCTCGTCGCTGTTATCGTCGTCGCTCTTCCTCCTCCTCCTCCTCCTCCTCCTCCTCCTCCTCCTGGTCCTCCTCCTCCATGCTCCTCCATGCTCCTTCTCCTCCTCCTGCCTCCCCCACCACCTCCTCCTCCTCCTGCTGCTGCTCCTCCTCCTCCTCCTCCTCTATCCCTCGCTCTTGTAAATAACCCCGCCCTGTCGCACCCCGAGACGGGTCTGTAGGGCGGGCAGGTCGTTTCGCCTGAGAATTCCTCACTTCACGGATGGAGGGCGGGTCGTTTTCAAATGTGGCTCTCGCCTTAGAGCCACGCGCATTCGTCTCAGCATGTTACACGAGCTTCACGGATGGAAGGCAGGCCGTTTTCAACATGTGTCTCTCTCGCCTCAGCACCGCGCACATCAGCCCAAAACATTTGCAAGGGCTTCACGAATGGCGGACGGTTCCTTTGCAACATGTGGTTCTGGCCTTAGCGCTGCGCGCATTCGTCTCAATAGTGTACAGCAGTGCCACTGATTCTTATGGTTGGCATCCCAGAAACTGTACTTTGGCACGATTTGCGTTGTCAGGTCGCGACAGTCACGTTGATTCGCCGTGTTGACGTCCCATAAGTGGTGTTCTGACACGATTTAGGATCGTCAGGTCGCAACAGAAACGTTGATTCGCGGCGTTGAAGTCCCACGAACGGTGCAGGGAAGCTAGATCCTTATACGAGCCTTTGAAGAGGGAACTTGGAGGGAAGGCTTATTGCAACGTCGTTGATGAATCTTGGGTTTGCACTGGTCCTCCTCCTCCGTCTTCTCCGTTTCCGCGTGGGAGGAGGGCGGAGGAGGACGGAGGATAATGGTGGAGGAGCATGGAGGAGAAGAAGGATGATCAGGAGAAGGAGGAGGAGGAGAAGCTGGAGGAGAAAGAGGATCATGCAGCAGGAGGACCAGGCCACGAACTTGACGGCCTTAATATCTTCACTGGCCGACTGGCCGACCGAGGGGCAGAAGGACTACGAGGACCAAGACAGCGAGGATAACGATGAGGACGCCGACGACGATGGCAACGACAGCGCCCCTTGGCGACGCCAGGAGGATGGAGGATGAGGAGAAAACGATAAAGAGGAGGAATGAGGTGGAGGAAGAGAAAGGTGCTGCTGCTGCTGATGATGATGATGATGCTGATGATGATGATGATGATGATGATGATGATGATGATGATGATGATGAGGATTATGATGGAGATAATGGTGATGATGCTGCTGCTGATGATGGTGATGAGGCTGCTGCTGATAGATGAGGAGCCAGGGAGGACAAGGGGAGGAAACGGGAGGGAGGGAGGGATGGAGGGAGGGAGAGAGGGAGGGAGGGAGGGATGGAGGGATGGAGGGAAGGAGGAGGAAGAGGAGGAGGAGGAGGAGGAGGAGGAGGAGTAGGAGGCGAAGGATGATGATGATGAGGAGGAGGAGAAGGAGGCGGGGGGAAGGAGGACGAAAACGACAACGGCGTCCCCCCACGCCCCCCAGAGAGGCGGACGCCAGTGGCTTCGGCGTGGGCGTCGTGGTCGTGGTCGCGGTCGTCGGCGTCGTCGTCGTCGTCGCTCCTCCCACTTCCGTCCTTCTCTTCCTCCTCCGACGCTTTTGGGGGTTGACCCACGGTGGGCACTGCCCCCGACCCTCCCGCGTACGCCCAACATGGAGTCATGCATGGGGAGGGTCTATAGAAAGGTTCGCCCTGGCCAGATGGATAAAGGTTCGCATTCGGAGGCGAGGTAGAACGAGCAGCGGGGACGACAAGAGGACGAGGAGGAGGAGGAGGAGGAGCAGGAGCAGGAGGAGGAGGACGAGGAGGAGGAGGAGGAGGAGGAGGAGGAGGAGAAGGAGGAGGAGAACACCGTGCACGACAGAGGGGAGGCGGGATAGGGGAAAGGGGAACGCCCGAACGCCAGAAAGCCCTCGGAGCTCCCCCAGCAGTGCAGCGGAGATGGCAAAGAAAACATGCAATGCGGGAGAAGGGGGAAGAGAGATAGAGAGAGAGAGAGAAGGACCGGTCGGGCGGGCTTCCATGGCAGGGCTGATCCTGTGGTAGAGTCGCGCTGCTGGCGCCTGCTCCTAGCCGTTCTCCCCCATCTTTTATCCCCCGTCTCGGGCGTTGGCAGACATGGGTTTCGTGGGACCTGGTTTGATGATGTGTGCTGGGGGGCGCCCCCCCCCGCCCCGTTCCACTCACCGGGATTGCTGTCACCCGCAAAAGCACCAGCTGCGGCAGACCTGGTTTGGTGATTCTCTTCAATTCAGAAGGGGCCCTGGGACACACAAACAAATACGCACACAAGTAACAGGATGCACCACATTTTCCAATCTTTTTTCCGGGCTTTTTTGTCTTCCCCCCCCCCCACTCCCCACATCTTTTCCCATATTTCCTGGGGGGTCGACGATTCCTTGTGCCTGTGTGTGCTTTTTTTCCCCCTCCCGAAATTCAGGGACTCCGGGGCCCTGCCACTCATCGGGCCCCCTCACCCCGGGGGCCCTGGCCGTGCGCGACCGTCGCCTGGCGGGCGCGGCGGCGCCTGCTGGCCGAGCCGTGGCCCGGCCTCTCGGACCGCCTGCTGGTCACTGGCCATCGCTCGGACGTCCATTCCCTGTGCTTTTTTCGGTTTCGTGCGTGGCTTTTTCGCCAAGTGATCAAGGATGCTCCTCGATGGTCCTCGCCGAAGGAAGAGTGCACACGTCCGAGCGATGCCAAGGTCAGAGCGTCGGCCAGCCGTCGTTTTGGGCCGGCGTCGGGCAGGAGCGCGACCTCTGGCGCGCGGCTGGCCGATCGCCCCCTGCGCCACGTCGGCAGCGGCCCGCGCGACCCTGGGTGCCGTGCCCCGCCGCGCCCCGCGGAGGCCGCGCACCAGAGATGAAGGGGCCCCAGGACACACAAACAAATACACACAAATAAAACTATTCCACATATTTTTCCATATTTTCTAGGTTTTTGTCTTCCCCCCCACTTCCCATATTTTCCCATATTTTCTGGGGAATCGACGATTCATTGTGTCTGTGTGTTTCTTTCCCGACCACTCCCGCGAGGCGTCCCCCCGGCGTGCGTGGCCGAGTCTCACCACGACCTCGGCCGCCACGGTACGAGCCCTGCCCCGGGTTGCAAGCGCGTGGTCCGTAAGCCTCCTGGGAAGCCCCAGGGGCAGGTGAGCCGCCAGTGCGCCGCGCGACACGCGCGACACGCAGGGTTTCCCCTGTCAGGTCACACGAGGCTCAGCGCACAGCGCCTCGTAAATCCGGGTAGGGGCGATTTTTTCGCCCTTGAGAAATGGTTCTCCACGCCCTGGGCTTCGAAGCGGTTGTCGGCGCTGCGGGAGATCTCAGGCCGGGTGTGCGAAGCCTTCTGGCTCGGCGAGGAAAGGGGCGGCACAACCAGCACAGAGGTCTCCGTCCCACGTGCTGCGTCGGCGCAACAAAAGAGGACCTGGCGGACCCGTCGCCTCCACGCACATGATGGCTGTCGCGTTTCCAGCCGTATGCGCAACGACACATATATATATATATATATATATATATAGGCATTTTACTCCATGGTGTTGGGGCTTCGCTCTCGGGACAACAGAGCCGCAGGCGTCCATCTGCCCGCTTCCCTGCATACCAGGAGCTCTGCGGCGTGGTGGGCATCTCTGGGCTGGTGTAGTGGTCGTGGTCCCTCTGCGATGACGCCTGCGATCCTGAGCGTGCCCCGCGTCAGGGGATGCAGCGGACGGCCAGCGGTAGAAAACAAGAACACCGCAGGCGCCTGGTCCAGCTGAGTCCCCAGACGCCCTCGACGATCGTACTTCCAGGAGGGCCCGAACCACAGGTCTCGAGCAGATTTTCGTGCTTCCGCCGCGGTGGGGTCGGTCTCGAGGTCGGCGGCGCTGGCAGCGGAGCCGGGCGGGCCAGGGTTGGCGGCGTCCTCAGCTGCAGCGTCGTCGGCGGCGGCGCTGTGGGCCTGGGGGTCCCTGGGTCCCTGCAGCCGTGCGGAGGGTGGTTCCTCGAAATGGCTCACAGGCAAGCAGGTTGGCCTCCTCCTCCTCCTCCGCCTCCTCCTCCTCCTCCTCCTCCTCCTCTTCATCGGCGCAGGCAGAGGACGAGGAGGAGGAGGAGTAGTAAGAGGAGGAAGGGGGGAACGAGGGGGCCGTAAGCATCTTGGCTCAAGGTTCGAGTGAGCTAGCCGCCTGCGCCGTGATGCTTCGGGGGCGAACCAGCAAAGACTGTGCTTACTTGAGCGCCGAGGTCGAGGCTACAATTCTCGTCTTCTGTGAACGCCCGGGTAATTTGCTACGGAGAGGTGTCGCCGATGCAGTTGCTGTGGCTGGCTTCTGCTCCTCACCATGGTCCTCCAGCCTGGTCTTGGGGCACGCTGTTTTCATTGCCATCTACTGGCGCCCCTTACCCAATGTTATCGTCTTCCCTCACGGAACGACACAGACCGCGGGCTGGTGGTTGGATGGTTGTTCACCATGTATGACGTACTGAATCGGCGTTCCTGGTGCTGGCGCAAACCTGGCTCTTGGATTCTTTGAAGGTAGTGCTCTTGGTATTGTATTTGGCCGCAACGTTGTCGGCGCCTGCGGGATATTTATTTAATCGCTTCGCTCATTCCGCCGGCCCATCTTGCATTATTGGTGCTATATGCTTGCGTGCTCGTGGCGAGCGAAAAGTTGAAGGAGGAGGACGAGGAGGAGGAAGAGGGGGGGATTAGGATGAGGAGGAGGTCTCTGGAGAACATTTTGTGTCAAGTTTGGGCGAAATTGGTCACGGACAAGGCGCCTCTTTAGGAGTCGCTTGGAGTTTTCTGGGAGGCCTCTCGGGGGCCTCTTGACGGTGCGCTTTCGTTCGAGGATTGAGGGTCGTTGACGCAG